GCAACGACGACGAGGGGGTTTGGGAGTCCGATTGGGCCGACTCCGAGAGCGAGGACACTGACTCGGAGGAGGAGATTGACATCACGGACGCCCACTTCCCTAGGATAGGGGTCGTCGTCCGGACTTAGGAGGCGGCACATGAACGAGACGTACTAGGAGTAGTGACTAAGAGGGAGTAGTGATTAGCGTCGGCCAGTAGCTATAGGCGATTCGATGGTAGAGCAGGCGGATAGAGTGGAGCTAGCAATCGACAGTGCCAGATGGAGTTGGTTGGATCGCGAGCTCCGGCGAGCAATCGACAGTGCCAGATGGAGATGGCCAAGGCCCCCTGAGAGAGTGGAGCCCGACGTGTTAGAGTTCGATCTACCGGCGAGGAGCGTGGTTGAGCCCAGACTCCATTCCGCTTGGAGATCGATACAGTTGGGGCTAGACGTGCACCTGTGGGTGTATGCGGTAGAGACATATCGACACGATGCTCAGCGCTGGCGGGCACCAGAGACGACGAGTATTGAGGTCATAGGACATATTTATTACTCGAGCTCGGTGAGGGCCACGGCCTATTTTGAGGGTCTGGTGCACGAGTTTTGGCGCTGTGAGCAGGAGGCTAGAGGGATTCTATCTGGACTGGTAGATAGTGTCCGTGCGGGTAGTGAGGGGTTGCACAGCCCGATTAGTGAGATGAGGACGATCCTCCGGATCGGCTCTGGATCAGAGGGACTTTTGCTTTCCCATCGGTACGACTGCGGGTGAGGCTTCCCTTGTTCGTAGTGGAGGAGCTCTGGGGACTGACTCACATTGTTGAGACCTACTCCGCTAGTCTCGAGTTAGACGGACTGAGGAGAGGGTTAGCAGATCGCGATTGAATCGCCTACTCTCAGTTCATCGGAGGGCCGTTTACAGGAGAGAGAGGGCTCCAGCTCGTAGAGTTTATACGGGCCTTAGCGCCTTCAGGAGAGCAGGACTCCACCTACCCATATCAGCCCTTAGAGTTCTGGCTAGCCTTGGAGAGAGAGGCTCAGAGACCGGTCGACTATTTGGAGGGTTTAGGTGCACTCCTGAGTGAGACACCTGAGGACAGGCATGCCCCGCTTATTCCGTCTTGGGAGGTTGAGCTGTATTATCAGCAGATACACACAGAGGGGGAGGATCTTGGGTGGTACGCTGAGGACAGAGAGTGGGAGGCAGCAGACGATCTAGAGCATTGGGATGAGCAGAACCAGGGCTGGGGAGACCTGGTGATAGGAGATCGCCAGGAGCCGGTCGGAGGAGTAGCGCAGCTGGAGGACGGTTGGGGACATCTCCTTCAGGCCGAGGGACAAGAGGATATCCCTTGGGGACAGGGGGTAGATGAGGACGGAGATGAGGATATGCCGGATGCGAGAGACAACTAGAGGCAGGGCATATCCGGGCGTGGCCTAGAGAGAGCAGTAGTGGAGAGTCGGTTGGTACACACAGGGAGATAACTTTAGACAATAGAGATGGCGGACAGAGACATACTGAGAGTGACCCTTTCCTTGCGACGAGATAGGATAGGGGGTTGGGAAGAAGAGGCGATGGACGATGTTGCGCGCCGGATCAGACTCATGACCGAGCATGCCCTGGAGATATGGAGAGGCCAGAGATATGTCGAGTATACCATCTACTTCCATAGAGCTGACGGTAGAGTGCACAACACCATGACCTACTCGACTATTTTGAGCCTAAGTGGTAGAGTTGTCTGAGAAGGTAGCGGCGTTGTAAGATAGAGTGCGTGGAAAAGGACTAAGAGAGACAGACATTGAGAGGGTTTAGCATGGGACGATGAGTATGAGTGAGCTGGAAGGAGAGAGGTAGACAAGATGGTGGAGACAACAGATGGGTAGGCATGCGATCTTCTTTAGACGAGTTTACTGGTGTCAGCTGCTCGTCGAAGGGCGGGGGCCTACGAAAGAGGAGATTGGTAATGTCATACGATCTCTGAATAGAAGGACGAGGAGAGGATTTATCCCGTATGAACTGGTCACGTACGACTACGTCCAAGGAGGAGGTATAGACCCTCGGAGGGTATATGTTCTTACTTATCACTTTACTAAGTTGAACGAGTACGATGTGCGAGGTTACATTCCTGCGACCAGGGCAGAAAGGAATCTAAGTGAAAAGGCGTGGAAGAGTTATGCTAGATTGGTGGCAGGAGAAGTAGTCAGATTACAACAGGAGGGAAAGGTAGTCAATTGGGATACTGGGGTCAGGGTATTCGAAAGTATTCCAAGGCCTCCAGTTATAGGAAGAAACTTATCTAGGTATGAGTGACACAATATGATAAAGTTAGTTACTCGAACCAGAGATCCGAAGTAATTCGGATGGAGTGATGAGGAGCGAATCGGACGTGTGGTTGACGTATATGTTCACACGAGGAACAAAGTCCCCTAGAGTGAGAGATTTGATAGGACTAAGAGATACGCGCTGGGATATGATGTGCCACTTCCAGTACGTTTAGACGAAGGAGCTTGGGTGCCAACTCTGCATTACGGCACTTGGCTGGCGAAATGAGTTTTCTTGTGGACAGTGATTACTGAAGACCAAGGATTCCCTCGACGAGTAGAGGGTATAGGACATCTTGTGTTTGATGAGGCGAAAGATATAGAGATAGGGCTGACACTTGCAGGCGTTAGTAGAACCTGGTGGAAATATGAGGTCTTAGTTGAGGCGATAGTGAGACGACGACTGGCACACACTGCTAGAGGTAGACCTTTTACCACGCGGATCGTGGTCGGGCCTCCCCCACAGATTTACCATCCGATAGGAAGCTGGCGGATGGTCTTACCTAGGTTTGTTATAGAACAAACTTACGGGAGTGTGGACTGCTTGAGGGAAGCAGTCGATCACACTCTGCACGCGCTATTGCTGGGACTAGAGCCTCGATCCCGAGAAGCATACTACTCAGTCTGTGTAAGGTGGGGACCTCCGGATAAGGAGACGCGGAGAGACTTGATAGACGCTACCTGTTGGGTGGATTTGTTAAGACCTGCAGATCTAATAAACTATTGTCGAAGGCGCGCAGAAGACAAGTACGTCGGACTGGAGGACCTGAGAAACTTGTTTGTGCATAGCGAACGGGAGGGATGCCAGGGCGACTGACTGTAGGGATTAGAGTGAGCAGGCAATTAGTGAACGAGGGTTTCACGATTACAGTCCTACTTAGAGCTCACAAAGACGACAACATAACAGAGCAGGAGTTCTCGAATGCGTAACTTTTCAGACCAAGATAACGTATGAAGTAATGGTGTGGTCAGCAGGGTACCTGCGCGCTGAGTTGTTCTTCGATGAGACGGTAGCAGAAACTAGGAGTAGGATATGATTACCCTGTCATGACAGAGCACGAGCAGCAGCTGTATAGGTATAGACCTCGAGCTTCATATTCACTCCGGTGGGACCACAGGGGATCGGACTCCTGGAGGAGCGTGAGCGAGAGGAACCCCCGAGTGGCTACTCGAGGAATTGAGACGAGGAGTCTCTCTTCTCGGCGACGTTTTCCCTACGCTCGGGTTGTTTCTAGGCAGTTAGTGTGTGACAACGAGACCTACAGATTCTTTTGAGAGTGAGCATAGAAGAAGAACTGTCCAACAGCGAGTTCAAAGAACTTGTTGAGGACGTCATACGGGAGCAGAGACTAGGAGCGTTGAGGGAATTGACGATACAGTGCTGGGTAGTATATGAGGTGATCGTATGCGTTAAAGGAAGAGTGCGTTTGAAGATAATTCGGGACGAGACACCCGCGGAGGCTCGAAGCAATATGTGATAGAAGTTCAGGATAAGGGAAGAGATGGATCGCGGAAGATGGAAGATCTAGAAGGAAGGGAAAAAAGAGTAGAAGAGCGCATTATTAAACCAGTGGCAGAACGGGTTAGGGAACTCACCCTCAAGATTCAGGACTGCGGGCCCAACAAAGGAAAGAGTGAGCTGCGCAAAATAGAAGGTGCGACGAAGACCCTAAGAAGACTTTTTATAAAGGACAGAGATTTCTTTAGGAGATGGAGGCTAGAATTTCTAGAGAGTGTCAAGAGAAGAAGTTATAGGAACGAGGGATCACTCGAGTCGACAGAAAGGAAAGAAGAGTTGATAGAGACTGCAACGTCGGGTGAAAAGAAGGATGTTGCAGGGGTGACGAAGAATGAAAAGGGAGAGTGAGCTCCGAAAGATATTCTATGCGAGTTTTGGGAAGGTTGGACGGGCTAACCGTTTGTGTTAGAATACAGTTGGAGCAACTAGAGAGGCTCACCATGATCGAGGAAGTGGAGAGCACTAGAGAACAGTACAAAAGGCGCGGGTGACTGGACTCTAGGTAGGAGAAGGGAGTGCGCGACTGATCTACTATTCGTTGCACTTGTCCCCCTACGATGGAGTGACCCTGAGTAGAGAGTGGCGCGAGTCTCCGAGGAAAGCCGAGAGACTTCTAAAGAGTGAGGCTGAGGTGTCAGGAGACTTTGCAAAGGTCATAGTAGAAAGTTCGGTTCTAAGAATCCTCAAAGCACACGACCAGTACCGGAGTGAGTCTCTTTGGACCCTGGCAGAGATTGAAGATTTTGGGGACATAGACGATTTTGAGGCATTCTATCAGTACTTGGAGGAGTCCGCGGAGAGGATTTTGGTAGCCCTAGCCTTGGTGGACATGGAGTGCTCAGGGTAGGTCATAGGTATGAGAGAAGGAAGAGCCGTCTCTGAGCGAGAGCTAGAGGCTAGGAGAGAGAGGTTCCTTGCGGGCAACAGACCTTCGGACAAGGAGTTAGCGGGAGTCTGCGAGCGGTTAAGTTCCTTGGGGCGAAGAGAAGTGATTCCGTACGAAGTAGTGACATATGAGTTAGTGGACAGCGGTTGGGAGCGGATACGCCTTTATATTATCACAGTCCGGTTCGTCCCCATTGAGGTGTATGATGTTAGGATTTACCTTCCAGCAGAGCGACAGAGCGATTTGATTTACGGGCGGTGCTGGGAGCGTGTAGTAAAAGTGGTTGAGAGTGAGCGGGATAAGTTCCAAGCACTGGGTAAGGAGGTAGTCTGGGGTACCCAGATAACGCTCTTTCAGGGGTTGCCCAGACCTCCTGTACCGCGTCAGGTGATTCAAGGAAGGAGCAATGAGGCAGTGGTTGGTCTAGCGCTTCGATACTTTAAGTTTGATGGTCGTAGGGGGAAATTACCCGCGGGCAGGAACCCGCGTTGTGCATCAAGGGTCGAGAGGTCTAGCGCAGAGAGCGTTGGTGGATATATGAGAGTACTTGAGATCTTGCACTCGAGAGGAGTTGAGAGGGTTCGCGACTGGAATTCGTAGGAGGGTAAGGATACCAGAGGCGGGAGTGCTAGAGATAAGAAGGGGTGTTAGTTGCATAGAGGATCAAGAAGGAGAACTTTATTTTGATTCGGGAATCTTAGGCATCGAGGGTGAGCACGAGATACGAGACGAGGCTGGTAGACTTCTTGCGGTTTTGAGAGCAGTCGCAGACAAGTGATTGAGTTCTTTCATAGGTACGGGCTGCCAGTTCTGACATTAGGTCCGGGCTGCCAGTTCTGACATAAGGTCTGGGCTGCCGGTTCTGACATTAGGTCCGGGCTGCCAGTTCTGACATTAGGTCTGGGCTGCCAATTCTGATATCAGGTCCAGGCTGCTGGTTCAACAATCAGGCCTGAGCTGCTTACAAATTCAACCGGGAGAGAAACAAGTATATGGAATCCGACACTATGGGACCGCATCTGGACGAGGAGCAAGCTGTATACCGAGCATCACCGGACCTCGCTCCAAGATACCTCAAGGAGCGTTTCCGACAGAATGCCCCTTTGAGGTGCGTAGAGCCGCCGGACGACGGCGAGCCCGAGGTGATGGCGCCTCCAGTCGTTACCGAGCCCAATTGGGCTGCCCCAGTAGATCGACCAGAGTTTCAGACCGAACCTCCGAGTTTTCGACGTGAATCATTTATCCAACGCTCGTCTATGTACGAGCGTAGAGAAGATAGAGCCTATCTAGGAGGAGAAGAATGGAGGGACCAGTTTATTAGAGAGCAGCTTTGGAGGGATAGGGAGAGAGCTGCCATGGCCAGACAGATTTTTGATCCTGGGACGGGGGAATCACATCTCCTTCCATACGAGACGAGAGATAGGTTCATCATCTCGCATCAGCCCTCATAATAAGATACCAGGCCTCCCGTTTTCCTGGGATGCGGTATCACTGAATACCTTGAGACGTGGGAGTTGCATGCCTACCAAAGTCAATGGACTGAGGGAGAGATTATATACAACTTCTTATTCAATACAGACCCGAGTCTGAGTCGAGTCATAAAGGAAGCACGACCGAAGGATAGGAGGTGAGTTACGTATAAAGGCAACCTTTATGAGCTCTTTAAGTTAGAAGATGTCAAGTATTCAATCCAAGATTTAAAGGTGTTGACTCAAAGAGAGGGCGAGAGTGTCCAAGCCTTTGGGATGCGTTTTCAGAAGGTATCTGACGCCCTTATGACAAGAGGAAAGTTGTCGAAAGTGGAAAGATGCACAATCTTCCTTTGTAAATTACCCAGAGGGAAACAAAAGGCGGTGCTGAGGGAGACGCCTCATGATAAGTTAGAATTCACTGCATTGCTTAAGCTGGCAATGAAGGCAAAAGCCAATGACTACAAGGATTTACTCTGGAGAGGCATGCAGCGAGAGGATTATTCTCTCTACAAAGAGTATGGGACTGATAGGTGCCCAGACTTTAATGACAAACCTTGGGCAGAACGACGTTATCTGATGGACGCCGACAAACTCCAACGGTCAGGGGATAATGACGTGGCAATAGAGGAGATGAAAGAGATGATGAAGGGAATGGTCAGGAAGATGGTAGACTTCGAGACGAAAGTCGCGACTACGTACCGGGATAAGCCTGGATCCCCCTATTCTTTGAGGTGGGACCGTAGGAACACCGATCCGTGGAGAAGCGTTGAAGATCAGAACCCTCGCACACTAGCTGATTGCCGCGCGAGGGAAAGGGATGAAGAGGATCGGAGACGTAGGGATGAAAAGGATCGGAGACGTAGAGATGAAGAGGATCGGAGACGTACGGAGGAGGATGACCGGAGGCGCCAGGATGATGATATAGACAGAGACCGCCGGCGTGACGGGTATCGAGGAGGAGACTCCTATAGTCGAGGAGACAAATCCGACCAGTACCCGCACAGTCCCAGGTATGGTGGGAATGTCGAAGGATACCGGAGCCCGGGCAATTTTAACTCGAGGGTTAGAGAGGACTCCCGCGGCAGATGGGAATCGGACAGGGACCCCCGAGATGGATATCGAAGCGGTTACGAACGGACAGAGAGAGGGGGATATACTGTGTCGCCAGGGTACCCCAAGTCCCCGAACTACCCAAGATCCCCCGGACCGTCCAACCAGGACGTCAGGCGGCCAGCTATTAGGAGCGCGGAGGAGCGACCTCCTACACCTAAAAACTCCTGTATCTATTGCAGGGGTGATGATCACCTGAAGAGAGACTGCCCAGACCTCAAACGGACGATAGATGAGGGACTTGTCGTACTTGATGACCGCAAGTACGTCAAGTGGGCGGATAACCTTGGGGATGTGTCGATGTTCCCTTCGATGAAGGAGAACGTGGAGGCTAGGCGAGTACAACCAAGCAAGGGTAAGGGAGTCGCAAGAACCCAGAGCATGAGGCTTAGTCTGTCCTCGGATGACGAGAGTCCCGTGACACCCATACGGGTGGCAGCGACGAAGTCCGCCAGGGCGTCCTCCTCTAGAAAGGCCGACACCGATTATGTGATGGCAGAGAAGGACGGGCAGAGGATTGAAGGTGAAGAAGTTATACTCTCGCCACGCAAACGCGGGGCTAAAAAGTTCACAATGAAGAACACTCTGGATGATATAGATACGGTCGAGCCTCTCAGACGCGCGCTTCGACAGCCAATGCAATGTACGATACTCGAGTATTTGGCAGCCTCAAGACCTGCGAGAGATGAGTTGCAGATGATCACGCGCAAGACGCGCGTTCCCCTGAGCGATGAAGTCCAGATGGCTACCAAACAGGAGGTACTATCTTTTGTAGCGGTATCGAGCGTGGTCGTTAAGGCGGACCGTGCAGCAACAGTGTTCTTAGATGGGATGGAAGGTGTGCCTCCTGACAAGTTTTATATTCTAGGCAGTGGGACATTTCAGACTACACTCAACGATGAGGTAATCCTTCATGCTGTAATTGATAATGGCAGCGAGGCTGTCATCATAGACGAGGATCTGGCGGTCCAATTGGGACTGGACCTTGATAGGTCATACCAATTCGAGATAGAGACCGCTGATGGAAGGAAGCAGAAGGTTGCCGGAATTTGTCACAAGGCAACAATCGAGGTCGAAGGGTTGAGGGTAACGATGCCTGTTTTTGCAGTCCGGGACTGCAGCTCAGAGCTGCTACTGGGACGGACATGGTTGAGCCATGTTCATGCTGTCACTATAGAGCGCCCGGATGGAAGCCAGATGCTTTCCATCAAGCGTCCAGATGGTAGGCGAATTATGATGGAGACGATAGAGCCTCGTGATCCAAGGAACAGAGCAATTCTAACAGCGGAAAAATCAGTCACCCTTGCGGGTCGTTCCTTGAGCTTTCGCGAGAAGAAGTATGGGTCACTGCTTACGGAAGAAGAAGGTCGCATAGTAGAGATCGAAGACTTAGGCAACCGAGTTCGTGTGGGGGAAAACTTCTATCCTAAGGAAGAAGATGAAGAATTCGGAGGAATGGTCTCTGTGTCTTTTTTAAGGGCACAGCCCCCTAAGGGGGGCGACCAAAAAGACACAAGACAGTAGCTCAGAAAGTCAAGCCAGCGGCGGTAGCTCGTGAGCGATCCGCTCTAGATGGTGTATCTGAGGAAAAGATCGCTAGGGAGATTAAAAAGAAGAAGAGAAAGGAGCCGCAACGGCTGAAAGAGAAGAGAATAGCTGAGATGGACATAGGAGATGGGAACTTGACTGAGCAAGAGAAAGAGCGAGTATTAGAAGTCCTTAAGACCTGCGACAAAGCTATAGCCTTCAGTGATGCGGAAAGAGGAAGGATTAATCCTAGGTATGCTAAGCGTGCAAGGATCTATACAATTCCGCATACGCCATGGAATGACGCAGGGTGGAAGTTTGCTCAGAAAGAGAAGGAGGAGGTGATCTCCTTTCTCAAGGAGAAGATGGCATCACACGTAGTTGAGCTGTCTGATAGCGCATATGCGAATAGATGGTTCTTCTTAAGGAAGCCTAATGGGAAGATTCGGTGGATTCAAGACCTTCAGAAGGTCAACGCGGTGACGATTCGAGATGTAGGCTCCATGCCGCACGCTGATTTATTAGCGGAAGGGGCGGCACGCAGATCTATTTATTCTGTCTGCCATTTATTTTTAGGATATAATGAGATACCACTAGATCCGAGAGATAGGCATCTCACAGCCATGCACACGCCGCTCGGATTAATGCAGATGATGATCGTTCCGATGGGATGGACCAATGGGGTAGCGGTATTTCAGAGAGCCATGGTAGTGATTCTGAAAGACTTTACTATCCCTGATAAAGTAGAAGTTTTCCTGGACGACTTTCCGATAAAAGGACCGGTGTTGAAAGACGAGACGAAAGTCGCTCCAGGCGTCAGGAGATTCGTAGAGCAACACCTGACGGATATTTACACTGTCTTGGAACAACTAGATGAAGCTAACCTAACGGTTAGCGGGACTAAGAGCCGATGAACTGTATCGACGATTAAGATCCTGGGGTTCATATGCGACGTGAGAGGTCGACGACCCGACCCTGGGAAGCTGGAGAAATTGTTGGATTGGCCGACTCCTTTGCACAGTGCTACTAAAGTTCGCCAGTTTTTAGGGGTTGTTGGTTATTGGCGAATCTTCATACGTGGATATGCGGAAAAGGCAGAGCCTTTGCGCACACTTCTTAGGAAGACCGAGAAGTTCTACTGGGATTCTTCTCAAGAGCTTGCAGTGCAATCCCTCATGGAAGAATTTAAAGAAGGCGGCCGGATTTTAGGTGTACCTTTCTTCGAGGACGAGACGAACAGACCGTTCATAGTATCTACGGATACTGGGACGTGTTCGGTTGGGGGATTGCTTTCTCAAAAGGACGCCGATGGCAAAGAGAGACCGTTGAGGTTCGAGAGCCGAACACTCAACCCTGCTGAACGCAACTACAGTCAGTTTAAGAAGGAAGTGTTGGCCGTTCTACGGTGCTTAGATGCTTTCAGACATTACATCTATGGGAGACGATTCGTTCTCAGGGTAGACCCTACAACTGTAGCGTCAGTCCTACAAAAGGATTTCAGTTTGACGGATCCTACGATCGCAAGATGGATGATCAGGATTCGACTTTATGACTATACTGTGGAGAGGATCTCACGGACGAAGAACGTTGTAGCCGACGGACTTTCACGAATTCCCATTGAGGCAGACCGATTGATATCGGTTGCTGCACTGACTATGGTTGAGCCTAGAAGAACGGATCGCTTCCTAGTCAATCTCTATGAAGGTAAGTACCGCACTATAAGGTTACATCTGTCAGGAGAGGAAAGCACTGATTCGGACATCTGGAGACATGAGGCACAGTACTGCCTTAGAGCAGGGCATTTGTTTCGTCGACCTGTGGGAGCGGGGATGCCTTTACGGGTGATCTGTGACCCAGAGGAGAAGCAGACCATAGTAGCGGAACTACATGACGGAGTGGTCGGAGGACATAGAGGGGTAAAAGGGACGTATGAGAAAGTGACTGGTGTAAGGATTGTCAGAATAGATCCCTTATCCGATATAAGGAGTCACTTCACCCTTCATATCCTACTAGACCTGGAGAGAAAGTACATATTGATCTGGTGAAGATGCCGAAAGGCGTGGGAAACATGAACTATGTAGTGAACATCACAGACGACTTTACGGGATTTGTCGACTGCAAGCCTATCAGAACGAAGGCTGCAAAAAAGGTTAAGAACTTCGTCCTAGAATATCTTTCTAGATACGTGTGTGTCAGTAAGATTGTGATGGATAGAGGGACGAAGTTTCTAGCGGATGAGGTTCAAAGCATGTTCAAGAAACAGGAGCTAGAGTATCTATAGCTACTGCCTATCACCCTCAGTCCAATGCACCTATAGAGCGAGGCCACCAATCTTCAATAACATCTTTATCCAAGTGGTGTAGAGGGAAAGATAGTGACTGGCGGAAGTATTTTCGATATGCGAATTGAGCGGATAATGTCACAGTTCGGGCCAGCACCCGTTATCCGCCTTATACTCTTTGGTTTGGGAGACAATGTCCTCTGCCCATGGAGTTTCACGTTGATAGTTGGACTACGGCTAACTGGGCGGATAACATGACACGAGAGGACCTGTTGGCCGCAAGGACTAGACAGATAGCATACGGATTAGAGGATAATCTCATGACTGCGGCCAATCGACTGGCAATAGAAAGAGAGAAAAGCAAAGTGAGATGGGATAAAGATGTCAGAACTAGAAAGGAAAAGATTAAAGTCGGTGATATGGTACTTCTCTACGATGCTGCACTAGAGAGGACATGGACAGGAAAACTAGTTAACAGATGGATGGGACCTTATCGTGTGGTCGGTGCGTTAACCTGGGGAGCATATATGATTGCTGAGCTAGATGGGTCAAAATGGAGGGACCCTGTGGCAAGAGCTAGGTTGAAGTTGTTTAAGCCAAGGGAGACCCCTACTCCTACATCAACGCTACCAGACACTAGAGGAAAAGGGAAAGCTAAGGTGTCAGATGAAGAGCGAATCGGCCGGAACTTTTGTCCGACCAGGTGGGGAAAATTAGGGGTAGCCAGATCATCCCTAATTTTGGGTGTGTCGGTCATCGGGACTAGCCCTCAAATCGGCGAGAAGGACTACCTCTTCCGCCGCCCTCACAACTACCTTATTGTCTACCTTTTTCCCGTCCACTCCAAGCCTATCTCCGGGATGGCTGGCCGCAGGACGGCAATATGGAAATAGGCCTAACCGCAGTCCTTGCACACTGTGCGACTGGTGTGAGAAAAAAGTTTCGAAAAACGATAATTTTAATATTAAAATTAAAAATAAAAAACATAGTTAAAAACAAAAGAAAAGAAGAGAAAAACGGAAAATTTTTTACTTTATTAAATTTTCTTGGTATAAAATTTTAATGAAATCACTCTTATTATTTGTTATTTCTGGCAATGGAATTTAAAACCAGGAAAATAATCGGAAACTCTAAAAGAGGAAAGGAACAAAGGAATTTTTGTTATTTTATTGAAATCCATCGGAGCCCCTCTTTGATGAAATTACTTTTGTTTTTATTATTTTTGATAAAGAATTAATAAGAGGAGAAAAACAATTGAAGATGGTAAAAGAAAAGAAAACCAAGGATATTAGATGTCGTAATAAATTTTATTCGGAATATTCACAATGGATTTTTAGTCCCGGATTACTTATTTATCCTGATTCTAACGGTTTTCTCTAAATTCCGATGATCGAGATCGGTTTGCGTGATTTACCTGACTAACTTGATTCCTAGCCTGACCCCAACCTGTATGTTATGAGCGCAGGGTGGATGGACTGCGAGGGGTTACCGCCATGTTACTTGATTGTGCTGCACGACTCCATTGCGTCGTTGTTGTTCTCACCCCGGTTCGAACATGAGGCTTGGGACAGGCTCGGAACTATCATAACAGGGCTACTTGGGTTTGACATCGAAATGTTTCAAGTTCGGTAACGGGCACGACATCGGCATGGTACGGTCACCTCATGTTCGGTATTGGTCTAACGACTTTGAGATATACGCTGCAGATCATTTACAGGTTTGGGACAGGGTCGACACCGGACAACACAAACTATTTCAGATTTGGTGCCGGTATGACGCATGGTATTCAGGGCCGGCATGGCCACAATATGGGATGCTGCGGGTCAGAATGGCTGTTTTGGGTGGATACTTCAGGCTCGGCGTTGATACGGTAACGATACGTCTGTTGTACGGTGATGCCACAGGCTGCCGCAGTTCAAGTTGGTAAATTTCAGCCTTGGTATTGGTACGGTGGCGGCGCAAGCTTTACTGTTCACGATGACCATTTCAGGTGCTTTTGGGTTAGCGCGACTATAGGCCTCCGAGGCTCGGCACAAACGATTCAGGGGACCTGACCAGTCCAGTCATTTCCTGATACAGTGTTTTGGTACGCAGGTCCGGTGCGGGTATGGATCACGGGGTTACACACAGACGTTTGCCCTACACTGGCACTAGGGGAATTTAGGCCCTGCCTCCACTGCTGGTCCCATTGGGCCTTACTGGCTCTGTGTCAGGGACCTTGGGTAAGCTGGACTGCAGCTGTATAAGGCCCGGGGAGGGAAGTGTTCAGGCCTATTCGGAGGAGGGATAAGGAGTAGTGTGTGCCTGGCGTACGCAGTCCCCGCCAGCGCTTCAGTGGGTTCGAGCAGCCCGAATAGGAAACAGAGGTAGTGTAGCGGAGAGTGCCTAGGGTCCGCAGCCCACGAACCAGAGAAAGGGAGAAGGCATTGGGACTGAGTAGACGGGGAGGTGCGCCAGGTGTACGCAGCGCGCACGTGGGTTGACTCTCGAACCTGGCCGTTGGGCGCGGGTTGGAAGGTAATCAGAAGGGAGGGTACTGGTTATGGGAAGTACAGGGAAGAGAGAGCAGGGACCGTATGCAAGGTGTACCCCGGTCTAGTTCGCGTCAGCGAAAGCGTGGGGAAAAGCGCTAAGAATTGACAGAGCGTGGGTAGAAGGGAAACAAGAGGGACGAGCTCGGACTTGCGACCCCCATCTATGACTGAGAGATTGGACAAAGGGGACTGAGATGGGTGAGCATGGCGTGCGCAGCCCTTACTGAAACGACTAGGTGAGGGGTGTCGCTGACTCGCGACGTGGAATAAGAGGAGAGAGGAAGGGGGGGAAGAGATCGGTTTTCCGGTGTGCCCAGATTATAGGCAGCTCGGTTACACAGAAAACGTCGCAGGCGGTAACTGAGGTAAGGAGAACTTCGCCTGAGAGTGCGTGGGGGAAAGCAGTCTGAATACTGGAAAACCAATCAGTGAGTTATCAGACTTGAAATGCCCACTCGTTCTCTCACAATTTTGGAGCATTGAATCTGCTCGCTAAGGCGGGGTGAATACAACGAGTTATCAGACTTGAAATGTCCACTCGTTTTCTCTCAATTTTAGAGCATTGAATCTGCCCGCTAAGGCGGGGTAAAAACAACGAGTTATCAGACTTGAAATGTCCACTCGTTTTCTCTCAATTTTGGAGCATTGAATCTGCCCGCTAAGTCGGGGTGAATACATCGAGTTATCGGACTTGAAATGTCCACTCGTTTTCTCTCAATTTTGGAGCATTGAATCTGCCCGCTAAGGCGGGGTGAATACACCGAGTTATCAGACTTGAATTATCCACTCGTTTTCTCTCAATTTTGGAGCATTCAATCTGCCCGCTAAGGCGGGGTGAATGCAGCGAGTTATCAGACTTGAAATGTCCACTCGTTTTCACTCAATTTTGGAGCATTGAATTTGACCGCTAAGGCGGGGTGAACACAGCGAGTTATCTGACTTGAAATGCCCACTCCATTTTCCGTAATTTTGAAGTATTGAATCTGCCCGCTAAGGCGGGGTGAATACGGCGAGTTATCTGGCTTGAAATGCACACTTGATTTCCCATAATTTTGGAGTATTGAATCTGTCCGCTAAGGCGGGGTGAATTTAGCGAGACATCAGGCTCGAAATGCGACTTGCTTTCACTTAAATTCTTAACATTGACCTGCCTGCTTAGCTGGGGCGAAT